GGGAATTTCTGCTTCCTACGAAGCAGTCAAGTCGTATGAATCGCGCAGTGTTTCGGAGTCCGGCAAACAAACTGTTCATGATACCTTTTTGCAATTTGTATTTGAAAATACACATCATAACGTTCTGACACTTGATGATACTGTTGATGAGGATGAGTTTTATGCTGTTGATTGCATAGAATAAGCGGATTTACAAAAATTCATGAAAGATCGATATTTGCCTGTTTAACTGTACTTTACACTGTATTAATAACAATAAAACGATGTAAATAAAATTGCCTTTGAGTAATTGCAATAAAAACTCTAAAACACAATTTATTTTCCATAAACAAAAAATTCCTTAAGGAGCATTATAGCAAAACGATTTTAGCGAATGTAATAAGCCGCAAAAAAATCAATATTTACAGGTATGAAAAATTTTGTTTACTTAAAAAATACTGATTTTAAAAAGTATTTCACTTTGATTTTTTATTTTATGATATTTGCTGCTATTATTATTTTTTTACAATGACATAATTTTTAATAGTACTACAGGGTTTGTGTTATTACTTCTTGATAGTTTTTTTTTGTATTCCAATTTGAAAAGCAAAAAAAAAATTTTTACCATGTCATAAAATCACGTTCGACATAATGTCAGTCAAAATTATGTTAATATGTTTTTTTTACGTATGTATACTGTGCAATTAAATTAAACAATAGAACTAAAAAATAAGAGGTGGCAATGGCATACTAGTCTAAAACTTTAGAACTTTGTTAATCTTACATTGTTTTTCGTGGGCTCTAAATATCCATTTTCGGATTTTTTCAAGTTTTAAATAATTGTTTGAAAATTATCAAATTTAGGCAAAATTCGCTGGAGACCCTAGTTTGTTATAAATTGTTCCAAAAATAAAAAAAAAACCTTTTTCCAGAGCATAAACAATTTGAACAGTTTTATAAAAAAAAATTGTTTAAACATTATTGAACCAAGAAAAGTATTCTCCAACGGATCCATTGTCTCAAACTTTTTGGTGTGTTAAAATGCTGTGTAAGTGGTTACTTAATAGATTAAAAAATGTTTGCCCTACACGCTGCTGTTTTTATTTTCTGCGTATCTATTACCGTTTACGAGGTGCAAGCGAAATAAACTTTCAAACGTGTTTTTTTTATAACGCCCCCTGTTTTGCGTGCTGCCTTTTTATGATCGTCTTCTACGGATCTGATTCGCCAAATCACAAAAAAACATCACCGGATATAAACATTCCAATTCAGAAGAAGCATATAAAACGTGTCCTTTCTCAAAGGAGAAAAAAAGAAAGGTCATAAATATATTTCATAGTATAAAAACTCATTTAGAAGAAAAGAGTGATATCTTCTTCGTACCACCAAAAAATAACAATGGTTTTACTTGTAATTAAAGAGCGAACATTGATATTTTGTTGTTATGTTGTTTGCAAGTTTAGCTGTTGGCATCGTAAATGTGCGAAATAGTTACTTTTCGCATGGAAAGCTCATCAAAGCTAGATCACTGTTATTTCAATTGTTCTATACTAAAGTTTCTTCAAAGCAAATAGCAACTTCTTTAGATTATCTCACAGATCAATTTCTATAATCCATCATATTTCATCAACTTTACAAAATGAGAAAATTTCGAACATAGCAAAAAAATTTATCCAAAAATGCTGCAGGACGCGTGTAAACATGCTGTTGAAGAATCAAAATGTCGACAAAAATATTTCTCATTTCACAGCTTTTTTGCGTCAATAGCGTTGTAAAAAAATTTTTTTTTCAACAACCTGCGAGCACTGTACTTTGGCATAGGCAACCACATCCTCACCCCTATTATACAGAGATCGGGAAACTCACCCTATTAGCAATCAAGCATTCCCTACGTATACCAAACCAGCCCCATAATACTAAAAAAAAAAAAAAAAAAAAAAAAAAAAAATAAAAAAAAAATGAAAATAAATAAGGTACACCATACAGAAGCGCTCGTTAAAGAGAGAGTCTCGAACGCCTAATCGGCCGCGGCGCATCTCTATATACTCTCTTTGAGGGCTACGCAGCGCTTTCAGGGAGAGAGGGAGCCGTGCGTGCGAAGGTGTATAGAAGCGTAGGTATATAAAACCCAACCATTCGGGATGGATGCGGCCGATATAATACGGCCGTTTAAGGTGTGCTGCTCTTCTCTCTGCTACTGAAAAAAAGAATAAAAGAAAAAAACCACGTCTGTTGCTTACATTTACCTTTTATTTATTTTTCTACCTCTTCAGAGAGAGAGAGAGAGGGGGGAATCCCAGGGCACATATATGCGCGCGCACGCGTGTGTTCTTTTCACTTTCCAGTGCGCGGAATTCGAACCCTTTTTTTTTTTTTTTTTTTTTCGTTACACCAGCAGAGATGCGCGCTTCGAGAGTTTTAATGAATGACCGCGGATAGTCGGCGCGGCTCTGCACGTGCATATATACGTATGGACGCGGAATGCAATTAAGAGATCGTTCACACTCTCGCGCGCGCTTACAAGTCCGGGCGCCTCGAGGAGAGAAACGTCACCGGGTGTGCGCCCAGCGCCACGGCGTGATAAGATAATCGTAGAATATCGTCGCGGTCGGGGTGTTTTTTGCACCGATTCGTTCGCGCGCGAGGCGGAGGTTCGTTTTTTTTTTTTTTTTTTTTTTTTTTTTTTTTTTTTTTTTTTTTTTTTTTATGGTATTGGATTATCCGCGGAACAGGGAATCCGGAGAATCCGAAGTGGTTGACACTTTTGTTTTGTTACGAGCGGTATTTTTTGCGTCGTTCCGGACTTGTGGATTTTTTTCAAACCGCGTGCCTTTAATTTTATTGCATTTACTACCGGGTGTATTGACTACAGATGATCCTGGGACCATAATTCGAATGAATTATACGGATGATGGAAAAAAAACAATGTTTACGAGTGGTAATGAAAAAAGATTCATGATCTTTGATTTGAACAGAAAAAAATAACGTTTTTTTTTTAATTCTAGCCTTGTTAGACACGCTTCGTGCGATCAACGTTACGGCGACTACTTTTATGAAAAATTATAAACATAATTTATGATTTTTAACTTAATAACAGTACCATATTTTTCTGTAAAAAAAAATTTGTTTTTCTGCCTTTTTCATTTGGTTTCTCGTCTTTGCTGATGTACGTAACAAATTTTACTAATGAAATCCTTTTTTATAACGCCATAATTGAAAAAAAGTCCATAACAATTTAGATGAATTTTTTTCAAGAAAAACGTATGTTTCGTACAATCTTAAAAATCAGAACAACCTAATGCAATTGACTTTTTTTTCGAGCTGATAATAAAATCTACTCAATCTATTTTTAACAATTACACAACGAATAAAAAGGCCTCAAACTTGACAATCAATTTCTTCAGGTGAGATAGCAGAAGCAAAAAAATTGTTGATTCCTACGAAAGATTCCAAAGCAATCCTTGTTGAGAAATAACATAAAAATTTTATTTCTCGCCAATAATCGATATTTCAGACGATGCAAATAAAAAAAGAATCCATCATCGCAATGATTCAGAAGAGCAAAAAGCCTTTCTCAATAATTGTATCTATATGAAAAAAAAAAAATTCAAGCTCCAACGATTTCCTACCAAAATAAACAAAAGTGAAAGTGTCTCTTAAAAATATACGGTATAAAGATGTCACTGGCGGTTCCCATCACACGGACAAAGGAGCCGTAAAACGATACACGTGTTAGCCTTGTCGTTACGACGTGCGAGCCGATCGAACTTTTACGGATTCCCGCGTAAACTTTTTTCTTTGCTCCTGTGTGCATACCCTCTCGTTACGTGTATGGGTGCTGATACTTTTTGATTCAATTGTATTTACGCGTACGGACGAGAAGTTACTAAAATTACATACCTTGATATACTTGGCGTAGTATTTAGATTTATTGACAACCCGCGGCTTTAGTTGATAAAATTACAAACTTGCCGTCTACAAGAATGTTTTTACGATCTCTTCCTCTTAAGTACCATAAAAACGTATAAAACAAAACCCACGCATGTTATATGGGCATTTATACGAACGAGATTCCGAAGCTGGGAATTTCACGGACGATACTCATACTCTACATTTTCACAGTGAATATTTAACAAATTTAGTAAAATAGCAAGTTATTTGAGAAATCTCATCGGGAGATCGGTAACGATACGTTATTTTTGACTTATAAGTGATATATTACAAGACCTATAGGTGTGGTTACGAATACTTTCCTTGGAAAATTATGTAAATAAACTCAAAATTGATTATCACTATTACTTTGAAACAGTGATTTTTTCAAAACTATAGATAAAAATTACTTTTGAATGATAATGCGATAATCGGCATCGCGGATCGAGGACCTACGGAAAAAATGTAAACAGCCATGCGAGAAATCGGAAAACCGTACCGATTCCCGCTCGTGTAATACCAAAGAGATGGAAAGTGAAAACTAATCTGTCGTATAAGCCACCGGTCGTGCCGATGCAGGAAGTTACTGCGTCTTGCGGGTCAGTTGCTTGTAAACGATCCGAGTGGATTTTACACGCACTCAATTACACTCGAACATAACTTTCGGTCTTTAATGCTTACGGAGCAATATTTTACGTCAATAACGCAAGGTGGTTATCAAAAGCTCACCCCGATTTCGTTCAAATGAAAAAAAAAAAAAAAAAAAAATGTCAAAGTCTCTGTTTACAAAACAAACGATCGGTATGAGATCGTCACGCTCTACACTCGGTATCGTATCACAAAACTTCTATAACGATCTAGAGTTTGCCGAACCGCTTTATAGAAAAATAGTCTACGTACATCGAAAGTACCGATGAAGCCGATTTTTGAAACAATCGCCGTACCGATGTCACGTTGACACCCTATATATATTACACATAAATCCAAAGACAAAAGGTACAATGATATCATAAAATCCAAAGACTATGTATATAATACACACAGGTAAGTGTATTGAAGTAAATCGCGAGCAAGGGACGGATGACACCAACCTGATTTGCCGACTCGGGGGCCGCCGAGGACGACCACCCTGATCCTGTTGACGTTGGTCATTAGTCGTTGTGTTATTACAGATATACTGTTCTATTATCTCCCTTTCCTTCCCAGCACAAACGAAGACACACTCCAGGAGCACACAGTCGATTTTTCGTGCCTCAGGGCTTTGCAACGAAACACACTCTCGCAAGTACTCCGCGAGGCAACGATCGTTCCTCCTCTGCACTTGACAATGTACAGCTTCCCCCGAAAGTATCGCTCCAAAGCGCACTTACCGATCTTTTACCCCCTTCACCCCCACAGATCGGCGCGGCAATAACTATCAGTTCCCCGCGAGAAGGCAAAAAACAAATGAAACCAGTTCAGCAAGTGTCACAAGGGCGCTTCGGCGATCAACCGATCGGCGCCCGTCATCGACACCGGGAATCGGGCTCCGGTCGCCCTCGCCCACCCACCAACGACGGCATCGGCGCGCATCTTCACCCCAACTGTACTTATACCGTGTTCGAGTACGACAGTTTTGCGAGGGTCGATGCCCAATATTGGACGTCAAACGCGACGAGAAGAAACCGATCTCCTCGGGTACGGGAGTTGGGTGTACACGTGCGTCCCGGTCGAGCTCCGGCGTGCGACTGAAGCCGCGAGAAAGTGCCGAGGTCCCCCCCAGACACTGCTCGCGGATGGCAGCACCTTTCTGCAGATTATATATTGGCTCTCGGCGCCGGACACGTGCTTGTGTTGTTGTGTATATATAGTGGGTGGGGGGGGGGACTCCTCTTCGCAGGCGACGGCTGTGTTTCGGATTTTCGGTGCGATGGATCAATTTTTTTTTTTTTTCTTCTACAGGACACCTGCTCCTTGAGCTGCGTATACGCAGGTTCTCGTTTCGAGATCGGTATTGTTGGCCGATGTTTTTTTTTTTTTGCTTGCAAAGGGGGGGGGATAGATCGGTGTACAGATGCGTGACGAATCCGCGGGGTCTTTGGCTCGCGAAGGGGGTAATAATAGCGGACGTCATTAGTTGCCTTGTTAGCTTCTAATTTTACGAGGATTCTAAAATACTCGTGACGCATGTAGTCTCTCTCGCTCTCTTTGTACGTGGGTAAGAATGATGGAGCGACGATTTTTTTTTTTTTTTTTTTTTTTCATATTCAGTTCGTGAAATCGGTTGGGCTATCGGCAATAAAATCATTTGTGAATGTAGATACGTACATTGAAAGCAGTCACTCTGGGATTCAGATTGAAGTACATCGTTACGAGCAAACGAGTTGTAAAAAGATAAAATTGGGTTTTTCAATCTTTATAAGCAATTACATCTCAAATCTTCTTTGAAATTATGACGATTTTATTTTTTATTTTTACTTCATGGCATAAAAATCATACAAACATTTAAAGTAGTTCTATGCCACTCAGGTTGGATCAACCTACTTGTAAAACAGTAAATCATCGATTTTTTAAATAATTACTGTTGTTTACCGTGAATTTATACCTCAGTCACCATCACAAAACTGACGAAAAAAATCGATGATTATAACTTGGTACTAAAGGTTGAGAACAATTTTACCGCTGTATAAATATACTTAAAAAATAGAAAACCATTAAAAAATTGTAAAGCACGCGACTTGTTAATGATTGTTCAACACATGGATCGTAGTTATGTTTTTCGTATTACAGTCGTTTTTTGAAACGATCGTAAAAAAATTTTTAAAGTTATCAACAATGACAGGTGTTTTTAACTACTTGCTCATAAGATGTAGTGTTAAAACATGTAAATTTAAAGTGAATATCTCAAAAATTGGCATCGAAATTCAACCACGAATGTAAGGGGATGTCAATAACTTTTACCCCAATTTTCATCGTTTTTGTAAGAAAGTTGATTTTGGCATGATTTACCTTAAATTAATACTCATCGAATCTTGCGCGGGGCTCTCTATTTCTAAAATCACGAGGAAATCATCTCGAAATTATTGAAAAATCCGCGAAATCCGACATCCCTTCAACTCCTCGAGTAATAACAAAACGCTCACAGTATAGTACAGATTTTTTTGAAAAAGTATACCGATTGCATAAATTTAATCGTACAAGCGAAGGCGGAAGTTTGGGCGTTGGAGAACTTACCATTTTCGTGTCCTGGTATATCGAATGTACACAGGGGGGCAAGACGGCGTTCGCAAATTTTTACGATGACGCGAGAACGAATACATCCATTATTCAGGTCAGTTGGTCGGTCTCGTCGCGTAAGAGGTATATAGGAAACTCGAGCTCTGTCGCATCACCGATTTATACATATATATACACACGTAACGATGAAGTTGATGGGCAAAGGAAAGAGAAAAAAAAAAAAAATGATCCACGTCGGTAGCGCGTCAAGTCAGCGGTCTCGACTCGAAAGTTTGTCTTTTTTTTATGCTTTTCTTCCTTTTTCTAAACGGTGACGCTCAACAACGACTGCGGTTGGGATGCCGTGCACGATGACTGACAGATTGAGTTTCGTCATTCTTTTTCTCTCTCTTGTTTCCGTTATTATTGTACCTTTGTCGTTAGGGTAACGCAGTGGGTAATGAGTGCGTGAAAAAAAAAAATGGCACAGTGGACGAATTTTTTCCAACTGTGTGATTCTTGGACTTTTAAAAATAGTTTAAGACGTATACCTACACCACATTACAATGATTGCTATTTGGGGGAAAAGAAATTCGCCAAGGAGAAGTGAATGCTTTTTAATATAATATGTTGGCTTGATCACTTTTTCAAATTCATTGCTCGTATTTGCATCGTTAAGGACATTTGTCATACTTAACAGTCAGAGGGAAAATGTAGAGATATAGGGTATAGTGAGGGGAGTGCATGCGGCAACTGTTTTGCATGAATTACCCATATATATATGCGTCTGACACTGTTTTTTATTTTTTTTTTTTTTTTTATTGCAAAGTAACTAGTGGATCCCTTTGGAAATCAAACATAATATTTCTTTTATGGTATCGCGTTACGCAAAAAAAATTGGGCGAATCGTGTAGGCCATTTTCCTACATAGAACCGATTTTCCATGCAACCATGTCATAAGGTTGCGGGTTAAATTGACGTTTTTTAACATTTAATACGTAAAAAATGGTGTAGAAATGATCTGAAATGATGCATGAGACGTTCTAAAGTCATTACCAATGGCTTTTTAATATTTTTAGCAAAATCTATCAGAAAATAGTAACGAACGTTCTTAAACATATGTGGAAGGGTATTTGACTGATTTTAGTGATATGTAACATATAGTGTATATAACATGGAGTTCAGCGGTAGTCACTTTTCGAAGCTATGCATATCATATACTTAAGGTAGTTCAACTTACGCGTTTTAAACGAATTCAAGTTAATTTAAGTTTGCCCACAACTTTGTAATTGTAAAAAAAAAAAAAAAAAAAAAAAAAAAATTACAGAAGTTATCTCGGGACGTCACTTTGGTAGGTCTTTTGTTTTATCTTGCGGTCGTCGTGTTATTATGTGATCGTGTACTGTCTGGACATTTTCAGCAGTAAGAAGGACGGGTAAAAAAAACAATATTGTCAACACGACATTTTTGGCGGGCAATGTTAAACAGCTTAGATTTTTTTTTTTAGATCCCATAAAATATTGTCTTGAAAGTCGCTGCTTTTGCGAGTAGAGTGTAAATTTTATCAAAATATTAATATACGCCTAAAAGAATTTTGAAGAATTTTTCTAACAAATTCCAAAAATTAACTTGCTTTGAAGCAGAGTTCCGATGTATTTAGTTACTCAATCAAACAATTATAATTAAAATTTAATTTTTTATTTTTTACCAAGTTTTAATTATGAACTACATTGTTATTTCGTAAAAGTATGCTATTAATTACACTTTTCTATATTTATTCGCTTTTTTCTTGAAACTCGAAGAACAGTGCGTTTTATCTGTAGTGTTTAATAAAATAACATTAATTAGTATTCTATTTAAGTTATCAAGAATAAAATTTAATTCCTTAATAGCAGAAAATTTTTTTAAATAAGAGTTTGACATTTCGATTAAATAGTTAATTTTAATTCATAATTGAATGAAGATTTAATTGAATTATTTTGAACCTTGTACTGATGTTTCTGTAAAAGTTGACTTCTGAAGTCTTACCAAGATATCTCTTATAGAAACTAATTTTATTTTTTTACTCTGTGTATTCAAAGAATGTGTGTATGCCAAGACTTTTGTTTTTAATAATTAGTTCGTTGAAACTAGCACCTAAAATTACCACAAAATGAGAGAAACAAAGGAGATATTTAATTTTTTCTCCGCTCATGTGATTTCGAAAACTGAACAAATTTTCAGAAGTTAATCGCGGTTTGGAAGAAGACAATGTTTTTTGTTGATCAAAACGTGATCGTGTGTAGTAAATAATCGGAGTCATCGTGACATTGCGTGCAAAAGCTAACTGTTGACAGGACATTTCGAAAAAACACAAAGAACACTTTGATTAATGATTTTTTTTTTGTATTTAAAACGTTTGTTGTTGATGTATACGAATCACTTAGCTAGAGACAAAAATTTACTGGTAAAATTTCATGTTTGATTGATTCAATAAAATTTTGTGTTTCAACTTGCGTGAAGGTTTCGACGATTTTGCGACTACAGGGTATCTTTTCAAAACCAATTTATTTCCTACTTTTTTTAGTTTTTCGATTGAGCGCCCGATTTCCTTGAAACAAAAAATATTTCTTTACCCTAACTCCGTTCAATTAAAATTTAAGCTAATTGAAAAAAGTGTATTTTTCCGTTACATCAATATTTTTTATTAATAGGAAAATTAATCAAATTGTGAATATTTAAATCATCGATTTTTTAAATAATTACTGTTGTTTACCGTGAATTTATACCTCAGTCACCATCACAAAACTGACGAAAAAAATCGATGATTATAACTTGGTACTAAAGGTTGAGAACAATTTTACCGCTGTATAAATATACTTAAAAAATAGAAAACCATTAAAAAATTGTAAAGCACGCGACTTGTTAATGATTGTTCAACACATGGATCGTAGTTATGTTTTTCGTATTACAGTCGTTTTTTGAAACGATCGTAAAAAAATTTTTAAAGTTATCAACAATGACAGGTGTTTTTAACTACTTGCTCATAAGATGTAGTGTTAAAACATGTAAATTTAAAGTGAATATCTCAAAAATTGGCATCGAAATTCAACCACGAATGTAAGGGGATGTCAATAACTTTTACCCCAATTTTCATCGTTTTTGTAAGAAAGTTGATTTTGGCATGATTTACCTTAAATTAATACTCATCGAATCTTGCGCGGGGCTCTCTATTTCTAAAATCACGAGGAAATCATCTCGAAATTATTGAAAAATCCGCGAAATCCGACATCCCTTCAACTCCTCGAGTAATAACAAAACGCTCACAGTATAGTACAGATTTTTTTGA